TATGCGGGGGGGGGAGAAAGGAGGATTTGGGGGGGGAGAGAGGAGTTTTGGTGGGTGCGGGGGATAAAGCGGTGAGGTGGACGGGGGAGGGGTACTGGGGGAAGGTAGCCCAAAACACCCACCCCATCCGCCAACGTCTGACATTCCCTCCCTCCACCGCGGGGCCCTCTCCTAAATCCACCCACCCCAACCAACCCCAACCCCAAACCCATCCACTCCCTTTCCTCTCCCCCCGCCTTTGGTGACGCTACTGCCATTGCTGACTGTGCTACTGCTGCTGAGACCGCCGTCCCTGACCCGGATGCTGCAGCTGTATAGCAAGCCGTACCAGGCCATCTCAGGCTGAAAGTATGGTTGCCAGCCGCCGGATCGCAACGGTCGACAGCCAAGTCACAGGAGCAAACGCCGGCCCCCTCACTCATCACACCCACCACTCATCACACCCACCATCACCTCCCCGCACCCCTTCTCCCCTTCCTCAACCCTCCCACCGTCATCGCCGCCTCCAGCACCGTCACCGCCTCCGCCGCCTTGCCCTGGCCCAGCAGCACTAGACCCAGTGTGTTGGTGGCCAGGGCGCTGTTTGGGTGGCCCTCACCCAAAGCTGACTGGAACAGGGCCACAGCCTGGCGGGCGGCCCGTTCCGCGTCGTCCAGCTTGCCCAGGGCCTAGATTAGGGGTAGGATTTGGATTTGAATTTAGATTTGAATTTGAATTTGGGTTTACGTCCTGTGGTGGGGGCCCGTAGGTGATAATTATGTATTGGGGCGGGAGGGAGGGGGAGGAGGATCGTAAACAAAGGTAGAAGTGGAGGGGAGGGGAGGGGGTAACGGAAACGTGCGCATGGTGAAGAGCCGGGACCAACGTTTCTGTGTTGCAGCAGACCTGGGGGGGGGGATGAACAACCGGCGGGCAATCCCCCTCAACACACACGTACATTAGGTGCCCCTGGCCAGCATCAGGCCCGGATCGATCTGTAACAGAAACACATACATACATATATGAGTGGATTGGTAGACTGCGCAGCTGAAGATCATGCGCTTTAGGTGGAACGGAGGTTGCGGGGCATCCTGAGCTGGTGTATGTAGCTGGCTAGAGAATTCGAACAGGTGACGGCGCCTTGCGTTGATGATGAGGAAGAACGGTCAGGACTCTGACCGATATAACGGCCCTCCAATGACGGAGTGCTTCGGCGGTCACTCATTCCCGTTGGGGTACGGTTAGGCCAGCGTTAGGCCCGGATCGATATGTAACAAATACATACACACACATCCACACATACATACATACATACATACATACATACATACATACATACATACATACATACATACATACATACATACATACATACATACATACATACATACATACATACATACATACATACATACATACATACATACATACGTATACATACACACATACATACACACCCCAACGCTCTCTCCTACCTGCAGACACGTAGCCAGGTGGTTAAGCGAAGTGGCCGCATCTGGGTGAGCCTCACCTTGCACCCGCTTCGTGGCCTGAGGGAAACCACCGGGGGGGATTCGGGGGGGAGGGGGGAAATTGGGTTTGGAGGGTTTCGTGGGGAGGGTGAGGCATGGAGGGGGTTACAAGGGGGGAGGAAACGATGAAGGACAGTAAGAGGAGGAGGCCAGGGGGGATGCTGGGGAATACACAGGGGGGAAAATACACGGATGACAACGTGAGCATCATCCAGCACAGTGACAGTCCCATGCCCCCCCTCCCCCCCCTC